CCGAGTGAGCCACAGGGCCGGCCCACATTTTTTTTTTTTTTGGCCTTTTTGAGACCGGCCGCACCCCACTCACTGAGCGCTGTGAGCGCACGGGTCATCCCTATATAGGATCTGAACCCACGGCGGGAGCATCGCTGCATTCCCAGCGCCTCACTCTCCGGAGTTCGCTACGGGCTCGGCTTGTCTGGGTCTGACAGAATGTGATTTCATCAACTTTCACAATCCTCTCTGTGACTTCAGGGAGTCAGGGTGGGGAAGGTGGACCAACATGATCATGTAGCGCCCTCCTGGTCCCAGGTGAGGAAGGCAGAATAATGACAGGTATGTGGCGGAGAGCATCTGAGCTCCTCTAAAGGAAAGCTGCCTTCTTTGTTTTCCTTTTGGTATCCCAGGGATTTAGGGTGTTTTCATTAACTCTCCAAGGAGTGTTAGATGTTGTTACAGAGATTTTTCTTAACAAGTGACATAATCAGAACATTTCTAATGAGTGTAATTCTATTTTGTATGAAAATTAGTCCTTATCATAATTAACTCTTGTGAAGATCTTTTGAAATCACATTTTTTTCATTTTGACGTTTCAGTAAATTTAACTTCTTTCTTGATTGGAATATGAATCTTAGTAAAACTTCCCTGTGTATCCCCCTCAATTAATTATTAATATTCTTTAAACATAGTCTGTGTGCTTTTCCTTTTTGATAATCTCAAGAGTGAGTGTGAGTCGACTCTTTGGTTAGTTGGGTGTATTTTTCTCCTCCACAGCCTCAGCATGTCTGTGTTTCCTTCTGCTGTCTTGTGTATTTCCTGTTACAGAGTTTAAATGTGGGGTGGGGTCACTAGGACCAGGAACTCCTTTAGCAGAGCCCAGTAAAGAGAAGCCAGCTGGTCTCTGTAGTGTGGATTTCCACTTGCCCAGGGAGCCCTTCCCCACTTGGTTCTCTTCCACACCACCCTGCCTGCAGCTCCTCTCTGCTTCAGAGCAGAGTTCCAGCATTTGGTTTTGGGAATAATTGATTCTCAAACTTTTCTTTCCCCTCAGTGCTTAGTTTAAGACAGATCTTCCTTAATTTGTGTTTTATTTAGCCCTTAATTTCTTAGAGTTGTTCTTAAGTTACTTAAGGAAAAAATGGTTCACCATTTGCTGTTTAGAATTAAGCCTAATTTTTCTCAGGTTTTAAATCTTTAAAACCTTACTGTGATTATTAAAGTATGAGAGTGGTCTTTCTCTTTCTTTTCTTTTTTTTTTTAAAAAAAGAACTTTAGATGTATCATTGAATTTTGTGGGCTAGCTGTGGATCCTCTCAATAAAAATAGTGAAACTCAGGAATCTCTTTTTTCGTAATAGGAGATATAGTTTGGGGGCTCCTTGTATAAATTACAAATACCTAGTCACTCCCTACTGCCCTCCCTTCCTTCTACTGTCTTTCACAAGCAGTAGATACTGGGTTTATACTCATTCTGCATTGGTATTGTGAAGTAGATTAGAGAAAAAGTAATATTTTAGCTGTGTTTGGGAAAAGTGAAGCATAAAAATGAAGGGGAAAAAAAAAAGACTTGTTTTACAATTATTTTGCCTCTGCCTGTAGACTCTTAAACTCCTTTTGAGGAGAAAGCCTGCTGTTTCTTTAACTTTTGAGTCTGGAGTTACAGCTGGCTGGGGATTTTTTTTTTTTAAATATGGAATGCTTCATGAATTTGGGTGTCATTCTTGCACAGGAGCCATGCTGATCTTCTCTGTTTTGTTCCAGTTTTATATATGTGCTGCCAAAGCAAGCACTGCCTTGGAATTTTTTATGCATATATATTAAAAAAGGTTTAAGTAATGGAAGATCTCTGCTGGAGAGTCAGTCAAGATAGGCTAGTTCTGGGGCTGGCCCGGTGGCACACGGCGCACTGCTACAGTGCGCCGCTTGGGAGTGCGGAGGCGCTCCCGCCGAGGGTTCGGATCCCACATACAGACCGGTTCCCGCTCACTGGCTGAGCGAGGTGCGGGTGCAACGCCGAGGGCTGCGATCCCTTTGCCGGTCCGGTACGGGCGCGACACTGAGGGTTGCAATCCGTTGCCGGACACGAAAAAAGACAAAAAGGAAAAAAAAAAAAGATAGGCTAGTTCTGCTGATATGGAGAGATAAAGGTTAGCTCAGAGCAGCTCATTGATAAGACACTTGGGTATACTCAACATAGAAATAGAACAGTAGCCAATGAGGTAATCCTTTGCAGCAAACTCTGGGCTCCTGATTTGTGCCAGGCACTGTGCTTAGGCTTTGGAGACTCAGAGGAAAGCGGGGACTGCCCACATTACCATTTTTACTAGGACTAGGTCCTTGGGAAAGTCATCTAATTCCCTGAGCCACAGCTCCCTCATTTCTGAGAAAAGAATAATATTTACATGCTAAGTTGTGCCTACTAAGTGATTTGTTAGTGTTTGGCACATTGTAAACAGTCAGACAGTTGTGGCTTAAGATAGTCCACTGTCCACTCAAGTTAGAGACACATAAGCAAGCCATTATACTGTGAGTAAGCAGTTGTTCAGCAGAGCATAAGTGCTCTCCTGCGAGGTTTGTATGCACAGGTGTGGGGAGGTGGGAGGATAGGTTGGTGCCTCGCCTAGCAGTGACTTATGTGGAAGGCCTCTAGAAGGTGGTGGCACTTGAGCAGTTAAGGATTAGCTGGCAAAGAAAAGGGGGAAGGGCATTCCAGGCAGCCAGAAGTCTCTAAAAGGACACACAAGCTCTGCTAAAGTCACTGCTAGAAGGGTGGGTGTGGGGGGGAAACGAGGTGAGGTGAGCCTGAAGAAGTATAAAACGAGTTTTTAAGAAAAAGAAGTCCTTTTAAATTCTCTGGAATTAAGGTCTCTGGAATAAGAATAGGCCCTTGACTTGGTAGAGCATTTGCCTGTGAAGCTTGGTATATTCTGTTGTAAGGAATTCAGTGGGAGCTAAGAATGGTTTGCTGGAGCTGCCAAATTCCATTTTCAAAGGGAAATAATTTCATTCCCTTCTGACTCTGAATATTAAAAAATCAAAAATACCTCCCTGTACTCTGAGGGGTGGTAAATATCATTTGGTATGTGATATTATAGTCAGGAGGGGTAAATGCTATGTTTTAATGCTACAAATGGAAAATGTAAGATGTAAGGTGTTTGTATTACAGGAAAATATACTATATTGATCCTGAACCTAATTGCAAGGATTTATAATAGCAGAATAATCCAATTAAAAGTCTGCTATCACCTGCAGATTCTTATAAAAATTTTTTGATTGGATCTAATAGCTGTAATTCCAGGGCATCTTCTGAGGTTTCAGTGTTTAGAAGGCACTGTAATAAATGTGGTACCTTGTCATCTCGTTTACTCATTAAAACAACTTTAAGAAGGAGGTAGTTTTCCCCATTTTTTTGCAGATGAGGAGGTGGATGCTTTATAGAACTTGTTATTTGGCAGACCTGTGGCAAGTCCAGGCAATTCGTTGTCATTGTTCTTATTACCAAGCTAACGCAGTCCCACCCTCTCTATTTTTCAAAAGTCGCTCTTTTTCACAGAAATAATTTGTGGAATTATTTTGATCTTTCTACACCTTATTTCTGTTCCGTTATGTTAAAACAACAAAATGATTTATCGGGGTTTAGCTCTTGTTTGGGTCTTTGATTTTTTTTTTCCAAATTTTTTTTTGTTTATCAATTATAGAGTAATATGTAATAATTTAAAGATTTTTAGGTGAAATTTAGAGTGCTGGATCTTGTTGACCTAGAAGGAAATTGAGGCCAAATACATATAGCAAGGATTTATTGAGCCTGTATGATGATTGCAACCAGGGAGACACATAGTCAGGTCGCCCTGAGGAATGTGTTCTGAAGAGGGCCAGCAGACCTTAGCATTTTATAATCACAAGAAGGGAAAGGGTCAAAAGAGAGAGAGAGAAAGACAGTCCCTTCTAATTACTTCATCAGGTTTTCTATTGGTAGTACATGACATATAGATTTGGGATTGTAACTAGGTTACATAAGGATTACAAGAGGCATTTTAGGTTGTATTATGGCTCTCTGGTACCATTAAATCTGCTTCTAAGTAAACATGGTCATATGATAACGTTTTCCAGGACAGGTGGATATGACTATTGATTTACCCCAGATCCCCCAAGGCAGTATAATTTAGCTGACCTGGTTGGAGCAGTTTTTTGGTTATCAATCTGTTACATGAAACCTAACAGTGTTGGGACTCTAACTGGCTGTTCTTTTTATATTTAAGTTTTCTCCCCCCCCCCCAAAGTTTCTGCAGTAAACCTTCCATGTTAACAAGGCATAATCTCTAGTGCATAGGATGAATTCACTTATGCATCAGAATGGAATAAGAAGTACAAAGGGAAGGCAGTGATGTTGTGATGTACTGTGTAGGCTGTTAATAATAGAGCCACTAAGAGTGCACAATAAGGGAGAATAAACAAATCTTATTAAACGAGCTGTAGCAGAAATCAGCTTCTTAATTTCTTCTGTGGTTTTAACATTTCGTGTTCAGTGATGAATAGATTGAGAAGAATCAGTGTCTTTTGTCCTAGGTTAGTGGTTTTCCAAGTGTGATGCTCAGACAGGAGTATCAGCATCTCCTGAGAGCTTTTTAGAAATGAAAATTCTCTAACCCAGACCTAACCTAGGTAAAATGAGATGGGTCTTCCTAATGTGAAGTGGGACGACTACCATAGGTAATTATTCTACCTGATCACATCAGGATGTCGGGATGAGAATTACATAATTGGGATTTTTCCTTTTTGGTAATATATTCTGATCTTGTTAAGCTAGCAATACCACCGTTTATCTGTTTGTTTGTTAAAAAAATACCGAGTTGACTGCTAAAACTAATATTAAAAAGGAAGTCATTACAGGTTAATTAGCATTTAATGAGCCCAGTCAATATTAGATAATTTTATATATTATCATTTTCTTTCATTTCTACTCCCTTTAAATTACAAGGTGTAAATAATAACTGTCTTTTGGGGCTGTTTTTCTAGGTTAAAAATGTGTCTGCAGGTACAGAAGACATGCCTCCACCCTTGTCTGACTATGTGGATAGGGTTGACAGTTCCATGGTATACTCTTCCAATGGCAAAGTGAATGACAAGCGGTCATATTTAGAGTCTTCCTATAAATCAACTCCGTAAGTAGCATCTCCCTTAGTTTAATAGAGTGAGTCTAAAAATGAATATTTGCATGTTTAAAATCAATTGTTGGGGCTGGCCCCGTGGCGCACTCGGGAGAGTGCAGCGCTGGGAGTGCAGCGACGCTCCCGCCGCGGGTTCGGATCCTATATGGGAATGGCCGGTGCGCTCACTGGCTGAGCACGGTGTGGGCGACACCAAGCCAAGGGTTGCGCTTCCCTTACCGGTCACGAAAAAAGACAAAAAAAAAGAAAAGAAAATCAATTGTTGTTTTGTGCCATTCTCTTTTAAAAAAAAATCCAACAGTACACACAAAAGCTGGAGACTGGTCTTTGTATTACAGTGATATTTCCTTTGTTGGTGGAGACCTAGTGCTTCTTGGAAGACCAGGATGAGGTTGGAATCATCTTCCCCTTTTAAGCTGAAAATGCTTCTGTTCACTTGCTGACTTAATTGAAAGGCTGAGTTAGGTTCTTTCACTCTAGGAATGTGGTTCTGTGTGCTCTCTTTCCTATTTCTGATTTTGAAGTTTAGGTGAGGGTAAAAGGAAGTTACTGAGCAGAGCTAAGTTCAGTTCTCAGTCTCTCCTTTTGCCTATAATTATTAGATGTCATGAATAGTAGGGGGAGATTGCACATTGATCAACCCTACCCTCATACATTTCTGTTAAACTGGAAGATTTCATTTGGGGCCGACCCTGTGGCTCACTCGGGAGAGTGCGGCGCTGGGAGTGCAGCGGCGCTGGGAGTGCAGCAGTGCTGGGAGAGCCGAGGCCGCGGGTTCGGATCCTATATAGGGATATGGCCCATGTGCTCACTGGCTGAGTGCAGTGCGGGCGACACCAAGCCACGGGTTACGATCCCCTTACTGGTCACACACACACACACACACACACACAAAGATTTCATTTGAATTCAGGAATTCTGGTATTTTATTTGCTGTGCTAAAGCCTTCCATATTTCTGGGGGATGTGAAACCTCACAGTGAGTGTCTGGCCCAGGGTAGGTGCCATTGTGGTTATTGAAATGGTATCTCTGTGGTGGAAACATTTACCCTGAAGCCCAATTCTAAATCAACCTAATGATTAATGAGAGAAGGATGTTGGAGATATTGTTATGGACTTTGTGGTAATTTTTGCCTAAGGATGATAAATTAGTGTTCCTATATATAATTTTAGAACTCCAAATTATTTTGGAGACCAAAAAAAAAAATTCCTTTCATCTAGTTAGAGTGTTTTAAGTTAAAGGTGTATCTACAGGAAAGCTTTTTGTTATTTCACAGTTTTATCCCAAATCCCCCACTCCATTTAGACCCCATCCCTGGTCTTCCAAGAAGCCCTAGGCCTCCACAACAAAGGAAATTTCACTTTAGTAGGCTGGGTTATATAGAGATCCGTTCTGGGTGCACAGTAGTTTGGACCTGGAGCCCCATAAGATGATAGCAGCAGCTGAGTTAATTATGGAATTAGTTTGAGGATAATAGGCTTTATTATTACCCTGGAATGGAATTTGGAAAAAGACTGGCAGTCTGCCTAATCCCCCATCCCTCCAATATATTTTGTTTTGGCCTTCAGAATTGATCTTGCTATTGATTTCAATTGTGAATTATTTGGAAAAAGAACATTTTCTTTGCTTTCCTTTCTTTTCTTTGGATTTTGACAAAAACGAAAACACTCGAGGTTGTTATGGGCAAACATATACAGTAGAGATGAAATCCGTCTAAAAGTTTTAAGCTATGATTTGCATGACTTTCACACGTACAAAATAAACATCTACACCGCATCTTATGACCAGCTCTCTCTCTACAGTGTAAGGCCTGCACGGTGACACAGCATTCCCAGGTGTTGTCCCTTTTCATGAAAACCAAGGTATCTTCACAAATTCATTTGGAAAAATTTAAAAATCTTACTTATTCTTGAATAAGCCAGTACATTTATATAAAAAATTTATAAGGGACAAAAGGTACCAGCTACCCAGTTCCTCTTCCCAGAGGCAGTTAGTCACCAGTTTCTTTTATATTCCTCCAAAGATTTCTTTATCACTTGGCACATATGTGAGTGTATCTGGAGGATAAATCCTAGAAGCAGAATTGCTTGGCTGAGGGGCCAGCCCGTGGCTCACTTAGGAGTGTGTGGTGCTGATAACACCAAGGCCACGGGTTTGAATCCCTATATAGGGATGGCTGGTTAGCTCACTTGGGAGAGCATGGTGCTGACAACACCAAGTCAAGGGTTAAATCTCCTTACCGGTCATCTTTAAATAAATAAATTATAGGGGAGAATGTGCATAGGTTATGTGCAAATACTATGCCATTTTATATCAAGGACTTGAGCATCTGGGATTTTGGTATGGGGGAGGTTCTGGAACTAATCCTGCTGATACTGAGAGATAACTCTGTATAATGAACGTCATTCTGACAGTCATGGCACTAATGTTAATCATGTATTGTTTCTCTTCTTTCACTGATACTGTGTGTCATCAGAAAAAGAGGAATCTTGTAATTTGGTTTTTAATTCAGTAATTATCTTGAACATCTGCCATGTATACAATACTGAGCCAGGTGCCCCTGGGAAATACCAAGTCCATGCTGTCATGGAGGTTGCAAAAACGGGTGGAAGAAAGTGCACAACTACACTGAGAGTCTGGGCAAGATAGGAGCAGCAAAGGCATGTTGGGGTGTGTGTGTGTGAGAGAATTTAAAAAATGACTAAAGAATAAAAAGAATGAATCCAAAAGCTATAAAAGGGTAAACTTCCAAACCTGGGAGACCAAGTGAGGTTGAGATCACCTGTCTGAGTAAAGAGGGGAGCCAATGAGGGGTGGGAAGTATAGACTCTAACTTATTAATTTGTAATTACTCTTCTTGCTAAGCATTTTGCTTTTAGCTTTCATGCTAGATCAAGTATATTACTATGTGGTGTTTTAAAGGATGTAGGAAGAGGGAAGGTGGAAAACTTCCAAGGTAAAGATTAATAATATCAGTATCTTGATATCATAATTTTTTTTTTTTTACTTCCTACTAATATGGAGGAAAGCTATCAAAAAATTATGACAGGAGGGTGTTTTAAAGGATGTAGGAAGAGGGAAGGTGGAAAACTTCCAAGGTAAAGATTAATAATATCAGTATCTTGATATCATAAATTTTTTTTTTTTTACTTCCTACTAATATGGAGGAAAGCTATCAAAAAATTATGACAGGAGGCCTGCTTTGATGTTTTGCTGTTTGTTTGTTTTCTAATTTCTTTTGCCTTTTAGCTTCCTCCTCCTCTGCCTCCCCCCTGCCCCCCACATAGACCCACTGCATTCTAAAGGTTTTGTTTTGCTACCTCAAAACAAGAAGCATAGTACTTAGCAGTCTTGGCAGAGTGTCTGGGATTAATCATTGACTCATGGAGAAAGTCACATTTTCCCTCCATTAGAAGTAGCATTAACATACCACACAAAGCCATGTTACCTGAATAAATTTAGAAAGAAGAAATAGATACCAACACTCTTGACCACACACATAATACCCCAAACCTTTAGAGGTCTACAAGAAATTAAGTGTGATTAGAAAGCTAAGACTCTGACAATAGTTAGAATCAAGTGGCTCTGGATCACCTAGAAAACAATAAACCTAGTAGATAAAGCTGAAGATCACTGTTTCTGTAAGTTGGAAGCAATAAGAAAAAAAAGAGCGTTAAGACATTTTAACAGTTGATTTGAATAGCAGGGCTGATACTTGGAACATCTCAGGCCCTTTCTTTGGTCTTTTTATTTCTGTTCTTGCTCTTCTACTGAGGAAAGTGAAACTTTGTATTTCTGTTAACAGAATTAGTTTACATTTGCCACAGCTCTTGGTATTTTATTCATGTTAGGCTTTGTTTTCATGCTTGTGACAGAAATGTTATATGCAATTTAAAATCTGATGCAACATTAAATAATTGTATTAGAAAAATAAGTGTTATGTTAACCTTTCCATTCATTCTACAAGGCTTTAGGATGTAACATTTAAAAAAAAAATCCTTAATGAATTCTTCAATTCATTATATAAAGCTTTTTAGTCTTTTAGGTTTTTAGCTTTTCAATTTTTATCTTAGAAAGAGAATTGATATATGGCAGTGTGAAATTAATATCATGAAGGGCTTATCTCTGAAAGTCAGTTTTCAAAAATATGTATGTGCTTTCTTACCCATGCAGCAGTCCATGGAACTGGAAGAACCTGTAGAAAAGAATCATGATCGTTATTTTCTTGACAGTCTTTTGTAGATTAAGTCCCTGGCACAGGTCACATAAACACATCTAATAGATCAGCCTGAACTTCCTAAAATGAAATCTGAGGTCCATTTTACTTACAAGGTTTAAAAATGGGCCCCCTGCTTAAACCGGAAAGTTAAAGCTACTCATGTGTATTAGAGGATTAAGAGTTGGTGCTAAATTGAATGCAGGAAACCAGATATCTGCTCAGTGTTGAGCAGGTGCACTCCTCAAGGGAGTGTATGTGTGTGTAGATGTCTCTCTGTGCTTATTATTGCTGTGCTTTGTAGTTACAGTGTACTGGCAAGGGGTTGTAGTGTACCCAGTGGTCCCTAAACAATGACTCTTGTTCTTATTAGGGTGCCTGAAGTGGTTCAGGAGCTTCCGGTGACTTCACCTGTGGATGACTTCAGGCAGCCTCGTTACAGCAGCAGTAGTAACTTTGAAACACCCTCAAAAAGGGCTCCCACGAAGGGAAAAGCAGGAAAGTCAAGAAGAACAGAGCAAGACCACTATGAAACAGACTACACGACTGGCGGCGAGTCCTGCGATGAGCTGGAGGAGGACTGGATCAGGTACAGGCTCTGATTGTTAACGTGGACCAGTGGGGGCTTGGAGTTGTTGCCTCCTAAACTGGGTCAGTGGTATAATCTCATTCTTTGCCAACCAGGACTGGAGAGAGTTTTTTGGGTTTTGTTTTGTTTTTTTCCTTAGTACTCTTTTGTAATAAAGATTGAAGTGGAGGGGATATGTTTGTCTGTAACCATACTTTGCCAACACTTTGAATTTCCCTGCAGAATGGCTGGGTAATTTTAAGAGCTCTTACATTTTACCAACACTCGCCCAAGAAAGGTCTTTCAAATAAATATAGGTATAGAGGAACTTTGTTTTACTGATTATAAAATTCCCAGACAGACCTTTGACGATTATTTTTAAGTTAAGCTTTCATGTTAAGACCAGAGTTTCTTTTAAACTTTAATCCAAAGAACTTTGGCAAACAGATTTGTAAACAGTCGAGGTAACAATTTAAGTGTTCTGGCCAAGGTTGTGGTTAAATTCCTCTGTGTGTCAGTGGTTTTGTTCTAGTCTACCGTCACCAGTTACACTCGTGTATGACATGTAGCCCTTTTATACCCAAGTATTCTGAGGACTGGGACGCACATGGGAAACATTTGCAGGTGTGAACGATGTTTAATCAAAACATTGCTTCCCAAGGTGTTAGGAGGGGTGGGGTGGGGCATGGATAGCTTGCAATCCCCTACTCACTGATAGTCTGATATCTCATCTTCCCTTTTCCCCCAAGAGTTTTTGGCCTGGTTCAGCCATCTATCTGTAAAATAGATAACTTATTTTTATTTTATCTTGTTTTTGGTGGCTGGCTGATACAAAGATTCAAACGCATGGCCTTGATGTTATAAGGCTGTGCTCTAACCAGCTGAGCTAACTGGCCAGCCCTGCTTAATTTACATAATGGAAGACTGAACTGAAAACTTTTCAGAAATCCTAAATTCTTCTTTCCCTTTTGATAACTCTTTTAATTTTCTCCCCTCTTTAAAATGAAGATATTGGGCCGGCCCGGTGGCGCACTGGAGAGTGTGCCACTTGGGAGCGCGGCGGTGCTCCCACCGAGGGGTCGGATCCCATGTGGAGACCGGTTCCTGCTCACTGGCTGAGCGCGGTGCGGGCGCAACACCGAGGGTTGCGATCCCGTTACCGGTCAGTAAAAAAAGACAAAAAGGAAAATAAATAAATAAATAAATAAAAATAAATTAAAAAATGAAGATATTATATTAGACTGTTAGATCTAAAATTTGAAATTCCATGTTGCTATGAAGCTCCTTAGTGCGTGAAACAATTCAGAGTATCTTCTCAGTAGAATGTGGGTTAATAGCATTCCTTCATATATGTAAGAAATAGCTGGTATATTGAGAGATACAAGTGATAGAGAATTTCAGTTTTTCTTCATACTTTAATGAATTACCAGATTATTTTTACAATGAGCATGTTTTTATAAGTGTACAGTTTTAATGCCTACATTTATAATGAAAGGACAAAATAAGCTATTTCCCCTTAGGAAAAAAAGACCAAAAAACAAATAAACCATTTTGAAATTATAGGTGGTAACAGGAAACAGCCACTTCCAGTCAGGTGCTCTGTTACTGCAGTGATCAAAACAGACTTTTGTGTTCTGGAATTCTAGTTTTAAGATTTTAAATATAAGTATTCCATTGTCATGTATTGTTTATTGAGAATAAATGAGTTCCTGTGACTAGAACCTTAAATTTTACAAATGATTTTCAACTTTATTTCTAAAAATTATGGGAGCATTTTAAAAAACATGAGCAGTAGTATATTCTTCGTTGTTCTTTTTTGATGGCCAGCGGGTGTGGAGATTCAGACCCTTGACCTTGGGGTTATACCACCACACTCTGACTAGCTGAGCTAACCAGCCACCACTTGAAGTATTCTTAATGGAACTTATGGAACTTATTTGTATCCCATCTCCCTTTCCCATAAGAAAAAAAAAAGAAGAAAAGAGAAAAAAAAAACCCACAACAATCACAATAATTCCTTGAACTTGTTAAGTGAACTGATATGTTGTTGATTGGGAAGGGGTCAGAGAGGGGGGAAAAGGAGGAATTGGTAAAGTGACACGAAAATCAACTACACTGTATATTGATAAAATAAAAAAATAAATATAAAAAAATAAATTTTTATTGTTTAGTAAAAAAAAATAACGGGGGAGCGGGGGGGAGAATGTCATTCCCCATACCCCACCAGCTTTATTATCTTTGAGGAGGAAACACTGGATTTTATGTTGGCTAGGGATATATATATATAGTTATTTTTCATCTCAATCTTTTAGGGAATATCCACCTATCACTTCAGATCAACAAAGACAACTCTACAAGAGAAATTTTGACACTGGCTTGCAGGAATACAAGAGCTTACAAGCAGAACTTGATGAGATCAATAAAGAACTCTCTCGTCTGGATAAAGAATTAGATGACTATAGAGAAGAAAGTGAAGAGTACATGGTAAATTCAAACCTGATATTTATATATTATGTAGAATTTGATTCTAATCTATGGAGATACAGCATCCTTTAAATGACTGTTGATAAGAATTTTGCTATTGTCAAACTAATTTCATTAAAGAGATTGGGTCTTAGATGAAAGTCTCTCCAAATTGAAGTGTGTACTAATGTACTTACGAATTACAAAGCAATAGACTCTGCACATCTAACTCTTCCTGTTTAAAAGAAAATAGCCATATTACCTTTTCTATTTATAAACACAATTCGTTCTTTCTGTAAAAAACCTAAACAATACAGACTTGTATACAGAAAAATAATCACCTTAAATCCTTCCACTACAAAATCCTTGTCACAAAATATTAGTTAAAACATCCTTTCCATGCAGGAGTGCACCCAGCACACATGATCTTCAGTGAGAAATTATCTCATATGTTCTGCTCATATCCTTCCTGCTATTTTACTCAACAGTAGTTTATGGTTACCTTTTGTTCCCGCCCCCCCATCACCTGGCTGAGGTAGTGTTTGTCCATGTAACGTTATTTACTCTTTTCTTTTTAATCCACCCTTCCCATACTGTATTTTATATGAATACTGAAATTTATTTATTTATTTATTTTATATATCTTTTGGCAGCTAGCCAGTATGGGGATCTGAACCCATGACTTTGGTGTTATAATGGTATGCTCTAACCAACTGAGCCAACTGAAATTTATACAGATAAATCTCCCTTCAAAGGGATATTAGTCTCTCCCCCCATTTGCTTATTTGTTCATTTATTTTATCAATTATTTATGTAAGTATGGACTCATGGATATCTGTTTTATACTTTGAGTTATAATCTAATATTAATTTTTCTTGAATTTTTAAGTTTTTGGCAGCTGGCCGATAGAGAGATCTGGACCCTTGACCGTGGTGTTTCAACATCATCCTCTAACCAACTGAGCTATAATATAATACTACTTTATTTTGTGGCTCAAATTGTTCTAGCTTTGACCATTGAGATCACAGTTGCTTCCTATATCCCTTTGATACCCTCATCATTGTAGGGTTTTTTCTTTTTAAAAAAAAAAAAAAAACTTTCCGGTGCAGCCTTGTAACACCAAAGTCAAAGGTTTGGATCCTCATATCGGCCAGCTGCCAAAAATATCAAAAATAAAAAAATAAATAATACTTTCTGGCGCTGATTATTTCCTGCTCTTTTTCTCAATAATAGTTTATGGTTATTGTTTTATATTAATAATAAAGATCTACTTTAAAATTTTTTATCTGTAAAAATAGCTATACAATATTCAATTTTATGGTTGTGTCACAATGTAATTAAAGGTCACCACAGTGACATTTAAGTGTATCTCCCCTGACCTCAGTAGTACACTGGTGAACATCTTATTTTTGCACTCTTGTCTGCTTATCTTGCTGGAAGAAATTCCAGAATGCGAAATTGCTGAGTAAGAGGGTATATACATTTAAACTTTTGTTGCAAAACTGCCCTCTAGAAAGACTATACCAACTGCATTCCCCATAGTAATGCACTAGAGGGCTCATTTGACCCAGGTCTCACTTGTGCCTGAAAAATTATTGCCCTGTGTCTGAGATATTAGTAATTAAATTTTCTTTATCACTTCATATGTTTATTGAAACTTCATTAAATACTCTGCCATTTTTCAATTGAGATGATCTGCTTTTTTTTTTTTTTTTAATGTGGTTGGCTGGTATGGGGATCCGAACCCTTGACCTTGGTGTTACAAGGCTGCGTTCCAACCAACTGAGATAACCAGCCACCCTGCTGTTCAGTTTTTGAAGTATTTGCTTGTTATAGTTTGATTTATTTGTTGTTTTCTTTATGGTTTCTATATGATGTTGTTATAAAACTTTCTTGATTTAAAAACCATTTATTGATCACTAATCGTGTGCTTGATGATGTGGAGATACTGAGCTGAGAAAGATAAATAAAATCTTGTCCCCACCATCTAAGAGCTCATATTCTAGAAGAAACTGACATCTAAACAACTTAGACAATGTGATTAATGCTGTAGAAAGCACTGTAACTACCTGCTTAGAGGAATAAAGTCTGCTCAAGAGCTAAAGAGTTTAGGGAGGTTTCTCTGAGAGGTAACCATTAAAAAGTCTCTAGACAAAAAAATTCTCTAGACAGGGGTGGGGGAGGTGTAGGATGACAGCCATAAGGAAAACATGGTAGAAATCTTGAAGCATTAACATACCCAGTTTTTTAAAGAAAATGCTAATGATGGGCACTGAGACTGGAAAGGTAGGAAACTAGATGAGTAGAAAAGTTAATGGGGATTGCAGACCAATTTTATAGTGGATATAGCCTGAACAGAGCTGTTCCTTACAAAAGACCTTTCTGGTGTCAGCCTGGCACTGGACTGGAGTCAGGGAGAGATGAGAAGTAGAACAAATAGTTACCTGCCTACGGGAAAGGGACATGAGTAATAGAGTATCATAAATGCCTCTTTGCTGGATTCCTTCAGGCTTTCCTGCTGACCTTAAGAGTTTTAAGAACTTTAAGACTTCCTTATTTTAATTCCCTATATTTTTGTCCTAAACTGTTGTTTTTAGCTCCGAAGTATAACATCAGGAATGTTATTTTGGAAAAAAGAAATAGTCACACTAAACATATTCCCTTGTGTTTCTTATTAATAGGCTGCTGCTGATGAATACAATAGGCTGAAGCAAGTTAAGGGAGTAAGTATCCTAGACTGTAAGATTCTTTTGGGACTTTAGGAACTTTTCTATTATGTATTTTTCATTTAACTTTTAGAATGACTATGAATACCTTGTTACATATGCACTGATTATAGACAGAAGGCCCTGTAATTTTGAGATGAAAAATACAACTTAGTTGGAACCTTAATTTCAATTGTTTGCAGCTACAACCAATACTGATATTTTAAAACTTTTTTTTAAAAAGTTTACCTGTACATACAGAAGAGTGCACAAATCAAAGTTACAACTTGGTAAATTTTCACAAAGTGACCACACACCTGTGTACACAATATCCAAATCAAGAAATACTTCCCTAATATTCCTAGTGACCCCTACCACCCCCTTGTACTTTTTCCAATTTTTACATTCTCCTTAGAGGGTAAACTCCTCCCTGATTTCTAACATCATAGATTAATTTTGCCAATTTTGAACTTTATATAAATGGAGTCATACACATATTTTGTGTGTGGTTTCTTTTGCTCAGTATTGTTTGTAAGATTCATCCATGTTATAGCACGTATTTGTGATTCATTTATTTTTCTTGCTGTGTAGTGGGTTTTTTTTCCTCCCCCCAATAACATACAACTTATTCATTCTATTGTCAAGGAACTTTGGGGTTCTCAATTTTTGGCTTTTACAAATAATGCAGCTTCACACATTTCTGTAAATGTGCACATAAATGTTAGGTGTATACTTAGGAGTGAAATTGCAGGGTCATTGGGCATGTAGGTATCGAACCTTAGTAGATATTGTCAAACAGCTTTCCAAAATGTTTCTGTTTACATTCCCACCAAGTGGTGTAAACTCCTGTTGCTCCATATCTTTGTTAACATTTGGCATTATCAGTCATTGTTGACTTAAAACTTTTATTTTTATTTTTATTTTTTGGTGGCTGGTGGTACAGGGATCTGAACCCTTGCCCTTGGTGTTACAACTCTGCACTGTTAGCAACTGAGTCAACCAGCCCTATTTTAAAAATATTTTATATTAAAATTTTTGTAAATCATAGAGTAACATGATTTTAAATAAATGAGTTTTTAACAGGGTAAAATTATTAAAAAGGTTAAACTATAGTAAAGTTTTCTGACTCAGCCTCCATTCACACAATTTCCCTTTCCCAAGTTGACCAATATCACCCGTTTCTTGTTCTACTGATTTTTTTTTTTTAAGACAACGTATTAGCAAAAAGGCCAATAAGCTTTCTTGGTCATTATGCATATTGTTAGAGATGAGTGTATACTTTGTAAAACTCAGGTTTGGAGGTAGGAATGAGCAAAGAATACCAGCTGCCTATGTGGTCAGCGTATTACTTAAGTATATTACTTCATTTAACACACTCAACAATTCTTTGTAGCTAATGCTCCTTTTTTTGTTCACCTCTGCTTTCCCAGCAGACCTATTTTTATTTTGTTGAATTTGTTATTCATTTTTTCCCTTTTAGTCTGCAGATTACAAAAGTAAGAGGAGTTATTGCAAGCAATTGAAGAGTAAATTGTCGCACATCAAGAAGATGGTTGGAGACTATGATAGACAGAAAACATAGAAGGCAGAAGCCACATTGCTTGAGAAATGGAGAAGTATCTATGTGATATCTTTGCAATGTTCTCAGAGGGCAAATGACTTTGAACTCTAATCTGGGAATCCAAACCTTTGTGATCATTACAAAGATTTGGTAGCTTTAATATCATCAGTATTGAAGCATTTTATAAATAGCTTTTGCTAATCAACTTGGCTGAACACTACAATTAAAGATTTTACACTTTAAACATTGATTCTTGTATTAAGAACAAAATACTATTTAAGGTTTTAAACCATAAAGGTCCCTTTTGTGAACTGTGCTGTGAACTCTCACAACCCAGACAGTGATGTCTTAATATCTAAAGTGCATTTGTTTGACTAGGTGATCTTGTTTAATCCTCCCAACCGCCCTTCAGATAATTATTATTTATGATAATTTTCTGATAAGGAAACTGGGTCCCTGCAGTGAAGGCTCTGATGTGAAACTGCTTGCTTCCTAGCACAGTTTTGGTTAAGGCTGTTTTATGACTCTGTTAATAATAAAGTCCCTAGTCTTTCATATTTTAGCTACTATGTATACTGCATTCTACCAGCCTCCCTATTGACTTTTTTCCTATTATATTAAATGGTCATATAAATGATGAAAAAGTTTTTCTTATTTTATGTTATCCTGATAATAAATATCATGTAAAAGTAACAAATTGTGAAATTTAAAGATTGTAAATATATATATTTACTTTTGTAAAATCAAAGTTCAAACCTAGTGGTTAGAATTTTGTGTGTTTTTAAATACTTTTTATCTTTTATGGTTTACATACATTTGTTTTTTAACCACCTAGACCTTTTCATTGTATCAGAGTAATCGATTACTTTTATAATTCAATTGTGACGAATTATATCTTTTGGGAATGATCAAGTTCTGTACATATTTTATAAGGTATTTAATCTGGTGTTTTCTTTCTATAAATATTTGATGTCATTAGTTCTGTTAATATTAAGCTATGGAGAACTATACTCAGGAGTTGTATCTATTGTTTTAAACAATTTTGGGTGCTGTGCTGGTTAGTGGTTTCCCAGTCCTTTGACTATAAGGCCACCGATGTGTTTAGAAATAGAATGCTATACCATAAAACACTAAATTATTTCAAATGGTGCCCTTAAATCTCATCACTTTTTTTAAAAATTCAAATTCTTATTAATAAATTAAAATGAGCTGATAATACTGTGCTAACCAAGTTGCTTAAGATCATCATCTCAGTTTTAGACTGTCTTTTCTGAAAAGCTTTTGAAGAATAATCTTTGAACTAATCTTTAGTATGCAATTCAGACATTTAAGTATATAATTTTCTATATACAATTCTGAATTATTTTCCAAAGATAAACTTTTAAGTGATGTTTCTATTATAACACTGATTCATTTCTTCAAATTGAAGAAATTCTTAATTTTCTTTCTTTTTTTTTTTTTTTTGTCTTTTTTGTGACCGGTAAGGGGATCGCAACTCTTGGCTTGGTGTTGCCCGCCCCGCGCTCAGCCAGGGAGCACACCGGCCATCGCCCTATAGGATCTGAACCTGCGGCGGGAGCGCCACGGCGTTCCCAGTGCCGCACTCTCCCAAGTGCGCCACGGGGCAGGCCCAGAAATTCTTAATTTTCTTTCTTTTTTTTTTTTTTTGTCTTTTTTGTGACCGGTAAGGGGATCGCAACTCTTGGCTTGGTGTTGCCCGCACCGCGCTCAGCCAGGGAGCACACCGGCCATCGCCATATAGGATCTGAACCTGCGGCGGGAGCGCCACTGCGTTCCCAGTGCCGCACTCTCCCAAGTGCGCCACGGGGCAGGCCCAGAAATTCTTAATTTTCTATGTGCTGCACATACTTAACACAAAAGGTATTTTCATAGCTTTTGGATTCGCACCAAATGGGAAGGACTCTTGAGCACCTTAATTGATTGTTATGTATTAAAATTTTAACTACGTATTTGTTCTTGGGAGTCAATTTACTTAGTTTATGGAGGCAAATTTGCTGATGTACTCAAAAAACAAAACTATTTAGCTGAATGAAGGAAATGAAATAGCAAGAGTCTGCAATTGTAAAATTGTGTCATAAAATTGGACTTTAAAATACAAAACAGAATAAGAAAATAATTTTTCACATGTGATACTTACACTAAAGACCACTTCAGGAAGCCAGGATCAGGATGTTTCTATTGGTGTTGGCATTAACTAACTGGATGTAACTTTGAAAGGCTACTCAGGCAGTTTCCTGGTCTGGAAAATAGGAGATTTAGATTAGATTTCAGAGGTCTCTCCCATTTCTGACCTTCTAAGGTTCTAATGTCTGCAATTCTGCTTTCTGCTATAAGTCATTGCTTCAGGGAATTTGTTGTGAAAGCATGTATGTGGTCCACTTCATAAAGGTCCCCTACATAAAGTAATACCCTACATGCGTGATTTTGTAGTAAAATTAGATAGCATCAGTATTTCGTTTTGAAAAATTTTAAATATGGTAAAGTATAAACATACATGTGCCTACCACCCAGAAATAACGGATGTCAATGTTTTGTCATATGTGCTTTGTATTATTTGAAATAAAGTCTCCTATTAGTTATAGTAAATTATAGTTACTATTGTATACACATAAATCTCATATAATCCTCATATTAAAAATTTTTTTCATATAACCCCAATAAATCATAATTCTTTTGACATGTAACCATTTCTTATTCTCATTTTACAGATAAAGAAACTAATGATTTGATAGATTAACTGGCCTATTGTCACACACTAGCAAGTGGCAAAACTAAGGATTGGAATCCTGGTCTGTTGTGGTTCTATACTTCCATCCTAAATTGATCTTGTTAATTAAAGCATTGGATAATGTGGGATTGGTCTGTCTGATGTTAATAAAGTATCCTATCTTAATTTGAGTGCTTTTAAGTACCTGTAACATGAAATGTTTCATATGAAACATCTAAATTACCTGTAAAGACCTCAATGGGTATGTACTGTAAAGAATGGTCAGGGCAGAAGAGTTCTTTAATCATGGCTCCAGGGACCTTAGCTTCAACTGGGTTTATGAGTTCTTCACACAAAAACATCCTCCTCTTCAGCATTAGGAAGTGTCTCCTGTCTGGACTTTTTCAAAGGCTTAGCTGTGGGAATCAGAATTTGTATTCAATCTCCTGGAGCTCATGATTTTACTACCCCCCACCATGCCATCTCTTGTGCAAAAAGGCAAACTAGGTGGAGGACTACATCATCCCTTGTGTGTTTCATATTAACCCTTCTAATGGGAAGAAATCAGCAAAAATGCCTAAATAATTTGGGTAGTTTTTAGAAAACATTGTGTTAGTAAGTTAGAAGAATGCCACTTTGGAGTTTGAAAAAGAACGTGAATATACAAGGGTACTTCAAAAAGTTTATGGAAAGATTCATTTTTTAATTTTTCCACAAACTTTTGGAAGTCCCCTCATATAACCAAGACATGTTTTTTATGACAAATTCTCCAGTTGCTGCCATAGGACCTGCTTACTGTTGCCTGCATGTGTTGTCCTATTTTTCAACACCATGTTCTTAACCGAGTGTTGTCGAATTCTTGTTTTGCCCTTCAGTTACCTGCTGTGGGACCTTGAACAAATTACTTAATCTCCCTACCTCACTTTTTTTTTTTTTTTTTTTAACTGTAAAAGATACTTGTAATATGTAGTAATTTCACAGTCTCAAAGTTATGAAGGTAGTTTAATGTGTGACTTAAAACAATTCTTGTCCAAAAATGATTAATAAATATAGCCAGTTACACCTGTCTCCCTAAGCCAGAAGGTGAAGCTTTTAACAATTTTTTAAAAAGCAAATTGTGTGTGTGTGTCTGTTTGTTTGTTTGTTTTTTGTGACCAGTAAGGGGATCGTAACCCTTGACTCGGTGTTATCGGCACCACACTCTCCCAAGTGAGCCACAGGCCAGCCCTGCAAATTGTGTTTTTAAGAGTGTATGTATCATCCAATTCCATATGCTTGGTCTGTACTGGGTGCAACTCTAGGGTATAAATTATTTTGAATTATAGGCAGAAAATGCAGTAGGCTTGGCATCATGACTATTCATAGATGAACAAATAAATGCTTTTAAGGATATAACAAATAGAGTTTACATATCAAGATCACGATTATTAGACACTGTTGCAGTCAATTCTGGAGGTTTTACATGAGTCTGGAATGATTTATTTTCATCTATAGGTATTGGAATAGTTTACCTCTTCCAATCTTTCACGTTCCACACTTCTTGTATTGCAGTTTGAATCCACTGGCTGAGCTAGCTGTTCATGAGTTTCCTAAACCTGTGATTGTGTCCAGCCATCCATGGGCAAAGAACAGATTGTTCTATTCTTCATAGCTGTCCTTTAGTTTACAAGTTGAAAAAACATTTGGCTGGTTTATTTATTCTGCGACTTTATACATGTTAGGATATTGTGTCAGTTGTAATTATGCTAAAAGATTGCCATGAATTTATGTATGTTTTGGAACCGTTTCTAGTTGAGTCTTAGGATCCACATCTGAAATCAGTTTTGGTTTCTTTCTTTTTTTTTTTTTTTTGCTGGCTGGCCGGTAAGGGGATCCGAAACCTTAGATCTTGGTGTTGTAACACCATGCTCTAACCAATTTAGCTAACCCACCAGCCCCCAAAGTCAACGTTTTTACAATGCTCACATCCCCCCACCCCCACCTCACCCTTGTGGTTTCAGGGGCCATCGTTAATCCCCTGCTCACTCCTGCAGTCGCTCAACCACACCAATGTGCCTCAGGGCTTTCGCACTTGTAGCCCCTTTCCCTGGAGAGCTCTTCCCCTGGGTATCAACATGGTTAACTCCCTCCCTCATTCGCGTCATGGTTCAACTGTCTTCTCAGGACTCCTCTGACCACCCTACTCTAAACCGCAGCCCCTTTCCCCTAACATGCTTGATTTTTCTCTATAGCATTGTCACCGTTTGATACACTACACGTTTTTCTTGATAGCTGACTCCTAGCAGAATTAAATCTCTACGAGGGCAAGGATTTTTGTCAGTTTTTCATTGCTATTTCTTCAGGGCTTAGAAATGTACCAGGCCCAAAGGAGGTGCTCAATAAATATTTGTAGAATGAGCAACAGGAGCAGCAGAGGAGTTCCGGAATACCGCTGCACAGCAGGGGCCTGGCCTTGCTGCTGTGGTCACCGTCCTCCATCCCAGCTTTTTAGAAATAAAATCAAGCCCCTAAAAGTCCAGGTCGAAGACTGCTGAGCCTCTAACCTCCCGGGAGCGAACAGCAACCACTCTTCTCGCTTCTTGGCGAAGAGGAGCTGGAAGGGGCGGTACCTCCCTGCACCCTCCCCAGCCAGCTCTGAGGGTGCAGCTGCACCCGAGCGCCCTGCACTGGCAGGCCCAGCCTGCAGCTGCCGGAACATTTCTGCGCGGCCGCAGGGCGCGGCGGAAGAATTTCAGCGGCTCTCTGAGAGCGGATGGGCGGAGCTTCCGCCAGAGCGTCGTCCGGGCAGGATCGGTGAGTCCGCGGGTGGAAGTTTGCGCTGCGTCGAGGCGGGGACGGGCCGTCTACTAAGCGAGGCGGCCGGGAGGGGCCTTCAGGACCGGGAGCGGAAGTGCCCCGGCAGGCCTCATAGGGAAAGGCGGTGTGAGGGGGCGTGTGGAGGAGCTGCAGTCTGAGGAATGGTTCTCCTTCCTTAAGGCAAAACGCGAGTGTGGGCGATTGTGGTTCTGGGTTAGAGTTTGTGACCTGGATCCAGCCGTGAGGCCTCCAGCGAGTTACTAACTTCTTGAGCTTCGAGTTCCACACCTGAAAATAAGTGACAGTAATACTTTTTTTTTTTTTTTTTTTTTAAAGATGACCGGTAAGGGGATTTTAGCCCTTGCCTTGGTGTTGTCAGCATCACGCTCAGCCAGTGAGCGAACCGGCCATCCCTATATAGGATCTGAACCCGCGGCCTTGGTGTTATCAGCAACACTCTCCCACATCAGGCCGGCCCTGACAGAAATCACTCTTGATTGTGCTTGGCAGGGTAAGGTGTGAGCAAAAGCGTCATAAATTGTGATGTTTGGTGCCGCTCTCGTTTATTTGCCGATAGCATTCCGTGTCCATGTAACAGTAATCACCAGGAGACTTACGTTGGAGAA